GCCATTTTAGATTCTGAGAGGAGGGAGGAAGCTAGTGGTTTTACAATGGAGTTCTTTTTAAAAAAATTTCTACTAGAAGGAGTGCTTCAATTTCAACATAATATATGGTATTTTCTCTTATTAAAAATTGGATCAATATGGTTCTTTGGAAAGGTAATTTTTCGATTTTCTCAATAGTTATTTAATGCCACGGGACTTCCGACAGATTACGAAAAACCGCTAAAAATGGTATTCTAATTTCTAACGCTTTGTTTGCCATCAGAAACGAATAAATAATAATAATAATAATAATATTATAATATTAATTCAACTTACAGGATATAATAAATAATAACAATATAAAATATCCAGACTGAGAAAACTTCTCCGCGTAGAATCGTTTTTCTTATACAATGATATTATATCATTGAATACAAGTTTAATACATTCCATTATACATTGACCTACTTGTAACCTACTGTACAACAGAGCTACATCCACTTACCCTATTTTTCTTTTGTATTTAAAATTTTTTTTGCTCGTTTTTTTTTGTCTTTATGTCACCCGTATCATTTAAATATATAATCGGTATTGTCTTTTGAAGTTTTTAGTATGGTATTTTAGCGTCTTCTATTTATCCGTTTCTCTTTAAAGGGAATATTATACCGAAGTTAATTCAATATAAAAAATTCTCAAAAAATAAAAATCGGATAACCTAGAAGTCCAATATATCAAAAAAATCTGTAATTATATTATTATAGTTACTAATATAAATCACACAAGGTACTAATCGCTAAAATATCTACGTTTATAATCGGTTCCATTATTGATAATTGCACACAATGAGTATAACAAACAAAACTTACATAACCATCGGCCAAACGTTTCCAAAATACGCACACGATTTAAAAAAAATAATAATGATAATCAATAAATACGAAATTCTTCGTCTACTAATAAAAATCTAACTATACCACCAATGTATATATATATTATGTAATAATAATAATAATAATAAAAAGCGGCTAAGTGCAGCGGTGGTAGAAGTTTGTCCATCATCCCTTCGATTAGTGTATTATTATTACAGATTTCGATTTAAACTGATTTCATTCAATAAAAATTAAAAAACGATTCTGAGCGGACGAAAGAAAATGTATGAATCATAAATAATGTATCAATAAATATTTATTAATTGTACATAATAAAGCTAGTTATTAAACTGTAAAGCCTATATTAATTGTTCACAAACTTATCTGTACATCATTAGAAATAAATTACATTAAATATTAACTGCATCCCAATGGCCTACATCACCGAGGGTAATTTTTATTAATAAATAAAAAAAAAAGCTATTTGGAATTATGTAGTTTTTAAATTGTATTTGTTTCTATGGTGATAAGCGAAGAGTTAGAAAACAATAGGTTAGAAAATAAATGTTGGTGGTTTTTACAGTGACATTAAAAAAAACTATAGAGAAAATCGAAAAATGACCTCTTCAAAGTACCATATTGATCCAATTTTCTAAAAGATAAGATACTATATGTTGAAATCGAAGGGCTCGTGGTATACATTTTGTTTACAGGATAAAAATAAATAAACATCATTGTAAAACCATTAGCTTCCTCGCTCCTCTCAGAATCTAAAATTGAAATATAAATGACGTGTAATATAATATTTTTTTTTTTTGTAATATTTGTTATGTTTTGCTTGTTATGGTACTTTGTACCTTAGAATGTTTATGAATATTAGTTATAAATATATAATAGTAATATTTATAGTTTAATTTAAACTTAATAGGAAAAAAATTTGTTAGTGCACTCATTATTAAGTCATACGAATAAATAAATAAATAAATATAATGACTATAAAATTATCTTCAAACGTCTTATATGATATATGATTATGTATATGAAGTATAATATTACTGACTATTGTGGTGAGTCTATACTATAGATATTATAATAGACTCCATAGAAACAATTAATGTTTAGAAAATGTTTATAATGAAATAGTTTTGATAGGTACTACCAACTAATTAATTTATTCTTTTTGTATTACTTTCCTACTAACAAAATACATAATATCATAAACCTATTCAAAATCATTAAATTATATTACAAGTAAAAATCGCAGTTATCACAATAAGTGTCACAATCCGAATTAAAATATTAAACTTTACATTAAATGTTATAACTCATTAGGTAATAATATAATATTTGGTAGATATATTGATTTGTATTATTAATTGGTTATTAACTGATACAGATAACCCGATAAAATGACATGGATGGACATTGAAATAGTCCACGTTATTATTTCCGTGTTCATAATATTATTAATATGTGTCACTACTCACTAGGCGTTTTATTTCGTTAATTTCCACTGACGTCCTATACTCTTCGTGTCAATTTTCACAGAATGATTAACCGGCAAGGCGTGTTACTCAATAATAATATGTATCTACTTCATACGTGTATTGAAATATTATATAAACACACCTTTAATGGTCGTACAAAAACCAATATGCAAAATAAAATGCGGTGTATAATTTTAATAAGCAGGTATGCCTACATATAATTATTGGCAGTGAACTCGTTTCCCATTTTCAGTGACACATTTTTGTTTATGTTGGTAATAAAAAAAAAATTAAATGCTAAGAGCACACGAACTCTAGGAACACGATCAGTTTTTTTTTTATATAATTATAGTTTTTATTTACTTCTGAAAATCAGCTTTAAATATTATTATTTTCGATTTGTACAGAGTTATTTTTGTAGTTAGCCACCTATTTGGTCAAGTCACACATTTATGTTAAGCACCTTGTGAGTTGTGGCTTAATTATCTTTTTGATTATTCAAGGCCAACAAAATTATTTTTGATAAATCGTAAACAAACCATTTCATATATTATGTCATATTTGGATTTCCCCGGGTCTCATGGATTTAAAAATTTAAGGAGCCTATTGATTTAGCTAATTTTTCCACAATAGCAATAATATTATAATGACTTATTTAAAATTTCTAAAACTTTTCGTTATTATTCATATTATTTTATAACACAGGAATAAATAGCATCAACCGTCATACTTACCATAATATAATATATTTATATATAAATTATAATTATGTGTGCATTTTTAGACTTTGAATTCTATTTGACAACAAAATTATAATACATAATATTTATATGTATGAATGTACGGCACTACGGTTGGTATATTGTTTATAAATATTTAAAAAGTACCTCCTGATAAAGGTACGCCATCTGTTTTTTTATTTTTTTCTGAATAGGTACATTGACAATATTATGATATTATATAGATTTGTCGAATAGGTTAGGTTAGATGGTTTAATGTAAAAAAATTGTCGGTAAAAATGCTTCACTCCGTCTAAACCTTGAAACGGTATGTGAAATTAGGTAAAAATGTGTATTATTTAATATCTGTATAAAGTTTTTTTTACTTGTTAATTAAATTATAATCCAAACAAATGATTGTCATAATGAAAATTTCACATAATTACAATGCGTTTACTGTCAACAATATTTTACCAGCCGTCTAAAATATTATATTTGCTACGACTGAGCTATGCGTGACGATATTATGCCATGTAGTTCTCATTTAGAAGTTATAATGACATACATAACTGTATAAGTATATTATATATAGCTATTAGGCCTAAAAAAAATGTGCCACTTATTATAAAATCATTATAAATTTTCAACACAACGTTAATTACTATAACGATTATAAACGCTTCTTTAATACTGGAGTACATTTTATAACCCTTTTTTTACTACGCCTTTAATCCTTTTGGGATGTTTACTCTTTGATGATTATCTCTCAAAACATTAACACTGCAGTACCTACTTATGACGTAGCTACGTAGGTATATATATATATATATATAGTATTACATGGTATATAAACCAAACTAATTAACTATTCGATAAGATTTATAATATAATCCTACTCAAAGAGTATAATAGGATGATGATTGATGAGGTTAATGCGTTTTATAATAAACTATTTGATCTTTTGTACCAAAAAAAAAGCTTAATTTATCTAACCGCTGAGGTAGTATTTTCTATTGAATACCCTGAATGTCCAAAAATATTCCGAATAATACCAATCTCCAGTCTAACCGTGATAGGCTATTAGCAGGTACACGCTTGTACCCAGGTGCAGTTCATAATATATATACATATTCATAAAAAAAAAATTCTGTGAGCAAATAAAATCTTCAAGAATATTTGCAATATTTTTCTGATGTTTTGAGAACCAAACCATTTAATGCAAATCAAATATTTGTATAGGCATTTAATACAAGTTAATTTTATTTTATAAAATTATAAAAATAAACTCTATATTTTAAACTATAAATAAATAAATAGTATCTTATTAAAATGTGTTATACCGGTAACCACGTATTACTGGTTCGCATCACAATGCATCAATGTAGGTACATAGAATATTGATATTGAAATCAAATATTATGACGTATTTAATAAACATGTGGTCATTAGCTTATGATGAAACTTTTAAAAACCGTTCTGCCTTTTTCGGAAATCATCGAACTAACCAGGTTAGTAAATATTGATAAGGGATTTAATAGTTGAACAAAATTAAATTGTTGTGTCAATAATAAGATGAATCAGTAGCTATACATTTGGATACATTTGGAACCTAGTGTAATGAATGATGTACACTTGGGTACTAAAATAACTGTAAGTTGTATAATTGTCCCTTTCCTCTACACGAGTTTACGTATCAAAACGTTGATGTGGGATGACAGACTATCTTACCATTGATTTCATAATTTTTCCACAATATCATTATCGTCATTAAAAACAAGTCCACTCTCTAGCTTTATAAAATTATGTCATGTAAAATGCACCTAACCCGATGATTGTCGAAAACACAATCGCAAAGATCAACCGGTCCATGATGCGCGTCCGATTGTGATGGAAAATCGTCAGATTACCATATAATCATATTATATTATATTATAATTTTGATGCGCTTACCCGGTAACGTACAGCTGGTCCAGCGGAGGTCCGACCGGCTCGGATCCCAACGACATAGGCCAAGCGATGTGCAGCAATGAATCTCGGACGATCACGTCCCAGGCGGTGACGTGTGCGGTTCCGGTCCACTCGGATACGCGTTCCCAACGGACCAATCGACCGCGGTTACCGCGGTTTCTCCGACGCAACATGGTCATCGTGTCCAACCTGTGCTGCTGACTGTTTCCACCACCACTGCCGCCACTGGACATCGCGTCCCTGACTTTGTCGTCGTTATAATATTACGATTGCATCCTGTAAAGTGGAAGTCCAATAATTAGGTATTATAATATTATATTATTACATATAGACATCGCAGAAGGACGGAATGACAGATATTATGATGGAGGTTTTAAATTTGTTTTTCATAGGCAAAGTGAAAAAAATGTTTGAGCGGGCTGTGTGTATCACAACATTATGATGATCATCCCTTCTATTTTGTCATGTATATCACTATAGCCAAAGGTTTTATATCAACGAGCATATAACATATACATTCGATAGATGTTTTTAAAAGCGTCGAAAACACGATTGGAAAACATGAGGTTAGACCCATTAGCGTGGCGACGACGTAAGACGGAAACTTCATTGCTTCCCCTTTTAAATAGGATTTGTCGGAAGTTTGCGGATTCAACACAAGAATAATTCAGTGAATCCGAGAGACAGAGAACTGAATTAATCTGAGGCTTATATTTTCTTCGTGCTAACGTTGTATTCCCCTTAAACCATGCCGACAGTCAAACAAACAGACGAACAAACATCTTCAATAATATCCGATCGTATATTCGTGTCGCGTGAAGCATGTTTAAGATCAGTTCTTTATCGAAAATGGCTTTATTTTTTTGCTTGCCCACGTCGTTAACACACCTGAAAAACTTGCTAAAATATGTAATAGTTACAATATTATAGTACCAATTTAATAAGTATAATATATTATATGGTATGAAAAATTGTTTTATCTCTACTTTTATCGTACCTATTGAACTTAATACCTATGTCATATATTTTAGACTAGTACTTTTTATACAGAAATAATTTTTACAAAATATAAAATATTGATCAATTTATATTCGTAACTATTATTTTCAAATCATTATAGCCTCTCATATCTCCCAACCTATTATCATGGGTCTATTCTTAATATTCAAAGATAAATAATTGAAAAATACTCGTCCACATTTAAAATAGGATACATCAACATTTTACCAGAAAAAAAGAGTGATTGTCATTTGAAATATAAACTAGATATTACCACAGGACACTCCTCAAATGGTATTCAAAATCTAAGTATTTTAAAATAAAGTCATTAAGAAGGTATGCGACGTACCTACTTAAAAGTAACACAAAACATGATTAATTGAATACAACCATAATTAAATTAAAAATGTGGGTGAGCATGCTTGGTGAATCAATCTGTATACATATTAGGGTCAATTATTAACTGTACCTTTATCGTACTTCTAAACTACGTAAAGACTTGAAATAGCTCTACATTTCTTTAGAAAATTGTTTTCGAAAGTAAAATAAACATTTTCAGGCGAAACAATAATGTTTACAAAAAACGAATCACGTAGAAACAAAACGGTTAAAGTCGGGTACATAACATCCTAACGCAAGCGTATTGGAAAGCATTAGAATCTAATTTTATATATTCTAAACATGCTTTTAACATAAAAGTTTATATACGGGCGTCGGGCTGTACGATTTGATATAGCAGATGTTTGTACTATTGTTTTATTTATTTATTTTTTTGGTTAGGCGATAGGTGATATGTAAGTATTTCGATTTTTGTCACACTAATGTAATACGACGAGAGAAAACACCTGGAATAATAGTTTCTATGCAATAAATTCAATGGACAATGAGAGTTGACACAGAGAAACAGCTCACTGCGAATAAGTGGTATGTATACATGCGTGCATTATAATTTATTATATTATGTATAGCTGGGGAGAGAATAAAACATTAAAAACAACCGTAATTATATAATACTGGGTCAATGCTTAGTTCACAAAAGAAATCGTACAGTATCCTTCCTCGTTGAAATTAATAAAACGTGAGAGGGTTGAAACATATTATAATATTGCATTGAAAGCGCTGTGCGATCATTTATCACCTTCAAAAGACGATTTTAATCGAAATAAAGTCGATTGAAACTACACTGCAGATTATCGAGACATTTTAAGACTATAATATTATATACATACATATAGTTCTGTACATATTATTCTTTCGTTCGATAAAATGGAATCAGCAGAAATTGTAACCAACAGCCATATTTGAAGGTATGCGAAATTTAATTCAATATTGTAGTTTAATATTGATAACAACATATCAATTGCATACATTAATAATGGGTTTAATATTCACAGACTTCAATGTTACATAATACGAAATGCTATATAAGCCTATTAATCTCCTATACGAACTGCCTTGAAATACTTACTTTTTTAAATTTTTTATTCGACTCATTCAATATTAAACGTTTTCAAATATATGCTCCTCGATACCTAAACTATGCACTTCATGAATATCTTATCGATTCCCTTATAAAATATAGAAATTTGCAATTGTATTTCTACTTTCTAGTTATATTATGATAAAAGAAGTAAAAAAGTAAAATGTACGAATATAGGTACTCCAATATTTAAAACATCGAATGTTTATATGTGTTAGATATTATTTTTAATAGGACAATAATACCACTGTGTTTTATTTTGAGTTAGGTACACTAATTACTAATACAATATTATACCCATATACTTTTTTTTCTTGTATAACCGACAGTAGATATGAGGCTCTGTGTGAAGAATACTACTCATCTGCTTTGTACTTATTAACTATAACTTCATAGAAAATAATATCGATTGTTAATCTTTATCATGAATAGGTATATCTACTGTTGTTAATCGAAAAATGTGAAAGTGATGACGAGTGACGACAATCCGATTTAGATTTTTGTTCATTATTGAGTCGTTTTTCGTAACTCCACTATATTATAGGAATCCGCAGAGTTTAACAAACGCGATTCAATTGTTCAAAACAAGAGATCGAAAATTAAAATAATATGATTATACTTATAATATGTATGCAATATAGTTTAACGCGTAGTCATTTTTGGAAGTTCTTTATGTGAATTCGGGTGAATATAAATGATTTAACGACATAATGCTTGAAGGTTTAAAAGTATAATCAATGTATATACATATAGGTACCTACTGTAATACCATACAGGTTCGATTTCGGGAACCTTATAATAGGATCCGCACATTATAAGCTCAGACGTATATTATCGGCGAACATTTTTTTTTCCCAAGCTTATAGTCCTCCGGCCGCGACTGCAGCTGTAAAGCGTGAAGGTATAATGATATAATATATTATTATGGATTTTTGGTATTACTATACGTACATACATAATAATATTATCATGTTGTACTCATATGGCATTTTTTTTAGAAAATTAAAAAACTTTTTGTCAAATCGAGCGTGTCATTTACACGGTCCCATTATATTATGGTACATACGGTACAATACTAATCGATAACACACCTGCGCGTCGCCGCCAGAAGAGGCGAGAAGCATAACATAGAAAACATAATATTTTCATGGCGAATTTATGTACAAATGGCGTTTTTTCGGCCGTAATTATTTTATAATAATAAGATTAATAATATTCGATCTGGTGCAGGTGGGAATTAGGAGGTAGGTACGACTTACATTATGCAACGATAAAGATGACTTGAGATTTGATGGTATACAGCAAACCGCTTATCACTTGACCGGTACATACGTTTTCTACCTAGACAGATGTCCTGTTTAACTGAATAAATATGAAAATGTATTTGCATACCATGTAAATTGTTTCTGTATAATTACGAAGTTAAAAACAACTCTATTTAATTAAAAAATTATACATTTTGAGAAAAAAAGATTAATGAATACATTTAAACTTGACGGAACGACGCGAAAGAATGATGTTAGAGTTTATAGTCATTATTAATAATATCATAATCTTCAACATTTATATAAACTTAGCTTTCAACCACACTTCTTTAATAGGACGTTCACTAATTGTTTTCTTTCTCTGACCAACAACATAATACGAAAATGCGTTTACAAAAGCATAACTTTTTTTATGGTTTTTGAGTAAAAAAAAAAACAGTTACAAAAATTTTAGATAGTAATATTTGTGAGGATTTTATGTTTTGGTTTTATATAAAATTTATTATTTTTCTTTATAATATATACCATAATACATTTTGTAAATTTAAATGGATATTCCATTTTACAGCATTTAGATAAAACTGTAAGTCAAACACACAAATATTATCAAATATTATTTATTATTTAATATTTTCAAGAATAACATTTCTGTACTATGTTATTGCTTATTATTTTTTTTACTCAAATAGGTATTACTAAAAAACCATAAAAAAAACCATTTTGCATAAGAGTATTTTGTGTATGAATATGTTTCATGTGGAGAGAGAAAACAAAATAGTGTGCTGCAATCCTCTTAATTATAATTTATAACCACCTTTTTTTGTGTTGTTTATTTGAGTTCTCTCGTGTTTTAATACGTATATTTAGTTTAAGACTAAAACTTTTATTTTATTATTTAAATTTAAGTACGTTTTTTGCGGAAACTGTCATTAAATTTTAAATAAAAAAAACTATCATCAAAGGACTTCAACATTATAAATCCCAGTCTCTACAAAATTATACAATATAATAATTCTAGGTACATAAATATTTTTGTTTAATCTTCTTGTGGTCTATGAATGAGTGCAAGACTATTATTATACGAGTGAGGGTTAATATGTGTATAATAATACATTTTGACGATCAATGGAATTTTTATTTTTTATTTCAACACGCTGTTGACATATATTTTAAATTTTTAATAAAAGATCATTCATAGTTTGGAATTAATATTATTACACTGTACATAGTATTAATTATTATTACACAACTTTACTTGTTTAATAATATTATTATTCAATATATTTTTAAAGTATTTACTCGTTTATATTTTCCCCGCATGCACACTTGACATTTAAAAAAACGTTCAAAAAACACGCTAAGTCCCTACCTATGTATATTAATTATTATTATTAATTTCGCCCAGAATGATTTTTTTTTAATGCAAACATTAATCGTAATTTTAAAGTTTAAATAACAGGTACAAGTACATTGGCATTGATTTATAATA